CTCGACGCTGCTGAACTAAAAGCTGTGAATTCTGCACTGCGCCTACTGGCGGTATACGCTTCAGTGTGCCGGCAAATAATGTGTTCTTCGGCTATGATGTAGGAAAAGAGGTACGTGTTTTCTAATCCATTGGAAAGCAGTATTTTTTTGGACTTTCTTCCTAGTATTAGGCTGTCAAAAGAATAGGCACTTTTTATTTGCTTGCCTTAACACTGCAACCAAGTGAATCTCGACACGTTTGGGACAATATCCTTCGACGGAGCAAAGCAAGCTTTACAAGATAACCATGCTTTCGCGCTAATTTGATTCCTTAAGTTTGAAACAAAATCTAAAAAGTTCTCAGCGCTTGAAATCGAGAAAGAATCCATATATAATTTACTTGTGGTCCAAAAATTCTTTCCGTTCTTTTAGTGTCATAAAAATAGTGAAATAAAGGCAGGCAAATGCTCTAGAGATTATCAGACGCAATTTTTCTTCTTCTTTCCACCAGTCATGTTGGATCATTTGCTTCAGTGGTTTCTGAGATAACTGCCGAAATTTCAAACCTATGGTTTTTACCATGCTCGAATTTGGCAAATTTTTCAAAATCTTCATTGTGAACATTTGGAAAAGCTTTGACAGCTGTTAGGTAGCGCAAATAAAGTGCAATTCATTGCAATTTTATCACCTTTTCAATCAGCTTCTTAGCAATTTTAGGAAGACTTTTCCAAAAGTCTTCAATTTTGCGAAGTCACAAAATACACAAAGGCTCTTAACACTAACAGATCGTCGGAATTTGATACTTGCAAAATTCGATTATGATCAAACATTAACTCTACAAAGCAATAAAGCGTTCGCCGCTTCGAAATATCAAATTTGACATTTCGCGGATACAGCCTGGGGCGGGTCCAAAATCACGAATTATAGTAATTTTATTGCCGAAGACTCCATGAACTGAAAAGAGAAAGAGATCCCAAAAAAGGAGGAAAAGCTGCATCGAATGGCACATTAGTTGTGTGCCGCTTGATGTTCTGTGAGTGTTGGGATGACCAAAAGCATAGATAGCATCAGAAATATGAATCTGAAAATTTTTGAAAGCCAGCTTGCCAAAAAAATTCATTGCATTGCACTCTATTTACGCTATCTAGCAGTTGTCAAAGCTTTTCCAAAAGTTCACAATAAAGAATTTGAAAAATTGCCAAAATTGGGCATGGTAAAAACATAGGTTTGAAATTTCGGCAGTTATCTCAGAAACCACTAAAGCAAATGGTTCCAAAACATGACTGGTGGAAAGAAAAAGAAAAACTGTTTCTGATAGTCCCTAGAGGCATGCCTGCTTTATTTCTCTTGTTTTTATGACAGTTTGAAAAAACGGAAGAACTTTTGGACTGACCTAATATATGCAGCTGCTGCTTTTTCTCTTCAACTAAGAAATGAGAAATCGAAATTCGTGTTTTCGCTGAAGAAAATGTTAAGATTCATTTGCTGCGGGAGGCAAGCAAATAAAAAGCACCATTTTCCAATAACCTAGTATCAGAAGATGATTGAGATCCAAAGATTGTTTCCCAATGAATTGAAATTATCACCTATCTCTTTTCCCATAACTTAGCCTAAGAAGACATTACTTGCCCGACATGCTTATGCTCACCAGCAGGTGCAGTGCAGAATTCACAGCTTTATTTTACAAAGTTCAACAACAATGATTGATTTCAATGCTTCCTAACCTCAAGAAAACTTGGAATCTATGGAGCACAGTTCTTAGAAATCATAATGGTTTTGGACCTTGCGAGATCTTCGCTGGATCGTTGTATTTGAAACTTGAATTTACAACAGCTACTATTTCTCAAAGTTCTTGGGTCTGAACGTGTAAGAAATACTTCGTAACCATATGAATCATTCACTTTTATTAGACTTTGGCTATGCATATTTCTGCATATAGGCTGTATCAGCCAACATCGGTCCGCGCCAGAATGATTTGCGACGCACCGCCACATGCGACGCGCCTCAAAAGGCAGTGTGCAGGCAAATTTGGGCATATGGATTTTTTGCCTGGGAACTGATGAGGAGGTTCTAGCTAAGGCATTCCCCAAACCGCAGCGCAAATGATTTCTTTACGGCTGAGAAATCCATCCCCAAACACTCCACAGCTGCGCCGTCACCATAAGAATCAGGATAGGTCCCAGAGCGAACGTAGTGTTAGAATGAACGAAGTCGTTTTCGGGAGTCATGGCGCAGGCGCGGGGTTTTCGGAAACTGATTTCTCAGCCGTGAATGAACAATTTGCAATTTTCCTCGGGCAGTGTCCTAGTTAGGACCCCCTCATCAACTTCCAGGCGAAAAACCTATGCTTCCAAATTTGCCTGCACACTGCCTTTAGCGTAGCAAAGTTCCACGCGTCACGCCGCACCGTCGCAAGTTGCTGCAAGCGCAAGTCGCATAACCCATGGGCTGGTACAGCTTATGTACGAATGTCTGACGTGGTAAGTGCTAGGTTGAAAGTATTGTCCCGGCAGATTTTGCATTTCCACCTTTCTGCACGTTTCAGGATTTCGACACGTAGAACACAAAGTTGAATTTTGAAGCGGTTGCAAACACTGCTTTTGGGGAGTTTACCCAATTTCCAAAAAGCCGCTCAGACCAGGGTTGCAGTGGGTATTGGAGGCCCTAACTTGAAACTTGCCGCCTTTCAATTTTTGCTGATAGCACGTACAATGAGATAGCGGTTGTAGGGTCCCGCGCTAACGATTAAGCGAAACCGTCCGAGCAACCAATTTGGGTTGCATTTGCCGGTTCTAAGGCCGGGTTCATACTGATTCCCATGTTCCGAAACTGTTGTTCCTGCACAGTCCCTGCACTGTGCTGGAACTGTGCGGGAACAGTTCCAGAACTGCGCTGCATGCGCTGCAGCCGCCTCGGACGCGTTTTGAGCGACGAGTGTTGGAAAGTTTTGATCGTTTTCAAGGGGATTTCTCTCATTTTGGCCTTATTCCTCTACCCCGCTTCCCTTTCTGATCAACAGAACTTCGAACTCGGAGCGGGGTTGAAGAATGAGCGCTTTCCTGCTCTGCGCATGCGACACAAGTGTGTCCTCCTTGTGATGAGAAGAACTGGAACTTGAAGCGGTATTGAGGATTGAAAGCTTTCTGCTCCATGTATCAGGGAAGAAGGGCCTTTGCGCGCTTGTCCATTTTCTCTCTATTTGTATTCAGACCTACTTCATGTGTTCTAGGAAAGCGCTGCGTAGTCTCGCATCTGTTTTGAAAGGAACATAGACAGGTCCCGAGAACACACGAAGTTGCGAAGAAGAGAGAATGGACGAGCGCGCAAAGGCCCTTCTTCCCGGATTTATGGAGCAAAACAACGCTCAATCCTAAACTCCGCTTCAAGTTCACAGTTTTTCTTATCACAAAGAGAAGCGGGTTAGAAGAAAGTACGGAGAAGCAACGATATGGAAAAAGGTAAAGGGATGAGAATGCCCAAAAACGAAACCTATCAAAAAACAAGAAAAATCCCAATTATATAAGAATTGCGCGCAATCCCTAATTCATGGCAGATGATTATGGAATTTACGCAGCGGCTTCCTGGAACAAATGGAATAGGTCTGGGTAAAAATGAAGCGAAGAGAAAATGGACGAGCACAAGAGTGCACGTTTCGCATGCGCAGAGCAGAAAAGCGCTTATGTTTCAACCCCGCTTAGTGTTCGAAGTTCTGCTGATGAAAATAGGAAGGGGATAGAGAAATAAGACCAAAATGAGAGGAATCTGAAAGAAAAAGCGTTGAAAACGACAAGATTCTTCAACCCCCGCCGTTCAAAGCGCGTTCGGCGCAGCTGCAGCGCATGCAGCACAGTTTCGGAAAGTTCCAGCAGAGTGCGGTAACCGTGCGGGAACAGTTCCGGAACATGGGTTCGGTATGAACCCAGCCTAGGCTATTTTCTAGGCACAGAGATAACAGTAACCAGCCGAAGTGGGACGGGTGTTAGTGGAGGTGACCAGGATCCTCACCACAGCTATATCCCACAGGCACCGATCTGCCTTTGAGCCGAAAGTTGTTTCGCACTGTTTTTAAAAAATCGTAACTTCGTTATATACCGATGTTTTTGCAAGTTGTTAGTTTTATTAAGCAAAACAAATCATACATTTTCTAACCCTTGCTTACTTTTTGCTAAGTTTTAATTGCGGAGAAAATAGAAAGAGAAGATTTATGTGTTTTGGCGTTTTGAGGCGAGCCCGTCAAAAATCAAAAAACTGTGCATTATAATCTAAAACAGGCATCCTTTCATTTCTGACCTTTTATTTCCAACTGAGCAGAGTTTGCGCTGGTCGAGACCTTTGAGAAGTTATGGTTTTTATGCAAGAAAATAATCATTCAAGAAAACTGATGCATAATTCGCTTACTCAAAGAAGTTAGAGTCTTGCAAAAATATCTCGAAGAAGTTACGATTTCGGTTTAACCCAGTACATGCATAAGCACGCAAAGATTTCATCAGATTTTTTGGGAGTTCAATTTTTCTCTCGAATGGACGCTTAGATCATTTTGGGCTATCGTTTCAAACTATACGTGGGCTGGATTGCGCATGAGCATGATTACCTTTTGAAGCTTGCTTTGCTTTAAGTTTCAAGAAGCACTTGGTTATGATATCAAGGCAAGCAAATAAAAGGCGACACTACTTTCCTAAGACCTGATACCAGTAAAAATTTGTTTTGAAATGCGAAACAAATTCTCCTAATGCGGTCAATTTTCCAAGCAAGATTATTAGATCATGTTGGTCTTTTTCCAATGGTTTTTATTGAGTATTCCTAGGTCTTTACCGAACTTCTTCTCTCTCACTTATATCCTACGGGCAAGTGCAGTAAGGCTTTCTGTTCCTTCTGCTATGCAGCGGCTAGCAGTTTCGTTCCGTATCATCTCTCCGCTTCTCGTCTCATTTATTAAACCATACACTGCGCACCCCTTACATGTTTTCTAGCACCTTTTCATAGGAATCTGAACTGAAACAGGGAAAAGATCGCAAGCCGAAATGCTGCAAGTGTTGCTGGTAAAGTTTATGACTTTTACGTGAAACAAGTCATTTGTAGAAATGTTTTGCAGTTCTGTTTCACCTTCTTTCAAGCACTAAGAATAGGCAAGCAAACATTACCTAAAAACTGAAATGTTTACCAACTACGTCTCATCTTCTAGACATGTGCAACGTGGCTCCTGAAGTAGGTGAAGCAGTCGTTAAGGCTCATAACGCAATCAGAGCACAAGTTGCGACACGTGGACTTTACAAGAAAATTTTCGGAGATGCACCGGGATCGAAAAGCCTTTTCAAGCTGGTGAGGAGTGTATGACGCACCACGACTTTAAAATAAAAAGTTGTAGAAAACGTGGTAAAACTCAAATGAAGCAAGTGACGCGTAGTTATAGGACAATCACAATGGAGGCGGTCGCCTGCATCGCGTACAGAATTTCTGCAGCCGCATTTGGCTTTTGCTTCCACTTGAAGCTTTTTTTTTTCAAATACATATGATGGCTTCTCGATACTTGAGGTTTGAGCTGAGCACTAAGGCGATACTTTTCGTTAGATTCTCGATGTGACTTTATTAGGCCCAGAGACCGCAGTCGCACTTTTCATTACGATTTCGTGAAGGACCTGTATCTGTTTTCCGACAAAAGACTAGACTTAAATTCTAAGCTTAATTTAACTGAATTGGCGGCTGGGAGGCGGGGATTTGTGACTTAATTGATACCACTCGCGCCCGCGACGCAGTCTGCGTCTCTCTCACGCGTGTGCTCTCTAATCATTCTCTAGCCTTTAAGTAAGTCACGAAGCCCGCCTTCCAGCTGCCAATCGAGTTGAATCAAAGGGTATGATAGTCATGATGAGAATTCCTTGATATATTGATTTACGCAAAACACAGGGTTATGATCGTAGTCACGCCGCTTTGGCTGCTGCAGTTATTGGAAGCCGATGCAAACATTCCAAAATCTACATGAGTAGCCTACAAAAGTCAGAGAACTATAAAATGTAAGCTATGTTTGATCTTGTACAGTGCAACAGTCCAAACCCCCAGTCATTGAAGAGATGACGTTCAGATATCGAACAAATGGTCCGCCAAACAACGAAACGCTTCTTCAATTTTTTCTGTATGCCGTAGAGGACTGGAGAGATACAGTCAACCATCCTCTAAGACCTGACGTAAAATATGCAGACACCTCCATGGAACCTTTCGCCAATGTAATATTTATAATCGATTTGTATAAAAGTATTACACCGAAGATACTTAAGATTAAATTTATGTTTACAGATGATCTATCACAAGACGTTGAAGTTTGGATGTGCCTATCGATTCTGCAAATCAAAAAGCAAGGTTGCTCTTGCTTGTGTTTACGATAACAGGTGAGTGCCAATGTTTGCGCGCAAATGAACTGATGGGAGGTGAATGTTCAGTGATAAATAACATGAGAATCGGTTCAAGTTCTCTTGCCAGGCGCAGGATTACAGTATTGGTGACGTTTGATAACTACTCTCTTAAAGGAAGAATATCTCAACTAGGTGTTGCTCTGAGAACCACTGACTTTTCATATTGCTATCGCAGTCATGCTAAGCCAACAATCCGTACAGATTGCGCCCGCTGGAGGTATTTGTTTTTCTACTCAGCTACTTTGACACTTGCGCACTTAGAGTAAATTCCGAAGAACTCAGGCAATTTTGAGTGGTCAAACATAGCACTTGCAAAAAAATCAAAAGGTTATTGCTAATTATTGGCGGACATCTCCTTATCGCCCAGGTCGTAGGCTTGTATTCACTAGGCGGGGAGTACATACAGTTTACATACACGTAAAACTTACCCTTCCTCCAATTCAATTGCTTCATGCACGGCGTTGTCTTCCACCCCTTTCTTCCTGCTGTTGCCGTAGATATGTGACAATGCTTCATGTTGATTTGTACCCCTTACAGGCTTTCTAGCAACATGGCATTCCTTACTCGGCAGGATGTGAATGCGCCCAATTCTTTTCTACGTAACTATGGAGCGATAAAGATGGGGTGATAAGGTTTAATTTCCTCGGAAGTACTCAGTACGCCGGGCTTACATCATGCGATTTCAAATTCTCCGAAAAAAATAAATGTTACGCCATAGATGCCGATCATCTTGAACTTCGATTTTGATAGTTTTTCAACTCGGCTGATTGCGAATAACTATCACAACCCAAATGCAAGTTGATCGGCATGTAGGCTCAGCTGTCTTTTTGGGAAAAAGTGATGAAATCGCGTGATGTATGCGCGCCCTTGAGAAAAACCGAAAACTGACAAAAGGGCTCAATGAACAGCCATAGCCTATTTTTTCGGCCGTGGCCTATCTACAGGGAACATCAGTTCAAATAGTCTTCAGCGGAAGCACATGAACTGCACATAGACTTTGGGTCCTTCATAAAATAGACCTCTTAACATGTTGCTGTGATAGGTTGGGCACAACCCGGAATAGCTTCCTAGTATTTGATGAAGTGGTAGAAGAAAGTGAGAAACTTTGCAAGATCGTATTTCTTAGCTGATAATGACTGAGATTTTGAGTGAAATAAACAGTTGACACTTACTTTTTCATACACCTATACTTACTTAGATACTTAGATGGCCCGTCCTCACGTGACGTGCGGGCCCCAGTACAGAAGTCGCCATTTTCCCCTGTCCCTCGCTTCAGACATCCACGATCTTCTTGGCCGTCGTAGGTGGCTGCGTCTACGAGTTCCAGGGGCGAAAGTCGTATCCTGCTGATTTCTCAGCTGGTCCATCCGTTCCACGAACACGTCTGCCCATCTCGTTGGTGGTCTTCCTCGAGGACATTTGGCTTCGCGAGGAATCCACTCAGATGTTCTTAGTGTCCATCTGTCGTCTGTTCTTCTCATTATGTGACCGGCCCATCGGTGTTTGGCTTTCGCAACGTATTCCGCTGGGTCACGAAGACGGGACATTCTTCTCATATCCGTGCTGCGAAGTCCGACTAGATGTTGCTTGCGTCGGGTCATCTTCAGAAGACTGCGCTCGAGCGCTCTGTGGGTGGTCCGTAAAGCTTTCGACGTGGCTACAGTATCGGCCCAAGTCTCAGCTGCGTAACAGAGCGCCGGGAGAACGGTTGAGTCGAACAGGTGGGCACGAAGCTCCGGGTCCGTCAATTGGTCGGTGGCTTCCTTCAGAGGCCCGAAGGCGGCCCAGGCTGCTCTTCTTCTCCTGTTAAGTTCTTCCCTCAAGTCGTTCTCCATGTTCATCGAACGTCCCAGATACACGTAAGAAGACGTCTCCATGATAGGGGTGCCTTCCAATTCCATTTCTGCATCTTCGCAAAGGGCGTTCCTCATAAACTGAGTCTTCTTCCGATTTATTCGCAGTCCGATCTTCTTCCCTACTTCGTTCAGTTCCTTCAGCATCGTCTCTGCTTCGGTGATACTGCTCGAGAAGAGAACGATGTCGTCCGCAAAACGAAGGTTAGACAGGAATCTCCCATCAACCCGTATGCCTCTCTCGTCCCAGTCCAGTGACTTCATCACCCACTGCAAGGCCGCGGTGAACAGCTTCGGCGAGATTGTGTCGCCTTGTCGAACCCCCTTCCAATTGGTATGGTCGGGGGGCGATGGAACAGCTGTATCGTTGTTGTACAGTCCTTGTAGCAATTGGCTAGTGTCCTCACGTAGGCTGGGTCCACTCTTTGATCGACTAGCGCTGACAGGATGGCGTTGGTTTCGACGCTGTCGAAGGCTTTCTCGTAGTCGACGAAGGTTAGGACGAGAGGCAGTCGGTACTCCCGGCAGACTTCTATGGCCCTCGAAACGGTCTGGATGTGGTCCATGCAGCTGAATCCTTTGTGAAATCCAGCTTGTTCTTGGGGTTGGGCTTCATCCAGTGTCCTTGATATGCGAGCGAGGATGATCTTCGTGAAAAGCTTGTACAGTACACTCAGCAGGCATATTGGACGATAGATCCGAAGATCCTCCCGTTCACGAAGAGGTTCTTGACGCTCTCTACTGGTCGGGAATCTTCTCCTTCTGAAGGTAAGATGCAAATGCGACGCTAGAATCTCGTGTAGACGGTGTCCTCCGGCTCGCAGAAGTTCAACGGAAAGATGATCTGGTCCTGGAGCCGTCGACGTCTTCATGGTCTGTATCGCGATGCGCACTTCAGCAGGTAGAATTCGTGGTGGTACTTCTCCAGTGGGAACAACGGGCATCTGCACGAGTGTTGATGAGCGGAAGAGGTTGGTGTAAAAGTTCTTCGCGATAGATTCCATCTTGTATCGGGAAGAAGTCGGAGTCCCGTCTTCGTTCAGTAGTGCAGCCAGCGGTACGTAATATTCGCAGAGGTCCCTTCGGCACTTCTTAAGACTTCGTCTTCTTTCGGCTGCTTCCAGTATCTTGGCTTGCCTGTACTTCCTGAGATCTTCTTGCAAAGCTGTCCTGCAACTGGCGTTGGTTATCAGTCGCTCGAGATGGGTTGCACTCGGATCCTGCCTCAGAAATCTTCTTCTTTCGAGCATTTTCTTGGTGGTCTTCGAAATGCGTTCAAGTTCTTCTCAGAAGTCACTGAGGCGCATTCTCCACAGGCCCGCAATCCTTTTAGAAGCCGGTCGTAGTCTTACGTTGGGTCCTCCTCGATGGGCCAGTCACAACTTGATATGAGCTCTTCCAGCATGTTACCGTCATAAACGACTTCCTTCCATCTCGCGGCACCATGACAGACTTTCTTTTCCAGCCTTCAGCTGAATCTCGCTCGAAGGAGGCGGTGATGGGAGCCACTACAGAAGGATGGAACTACATAGACATCGAGTAAGCTCCACCTTCGGTTGGTGAGAATGTGGTCGATCTCAACATGAGTCGTTCCGTTGGGCGATTCCCAAGTCCACCGGCGATGTTCTTTCTTCATGAAGATGGAATTTCCATGGAAGAGTCGTGCGGCGGAGAGAAGCCCAACGAGACGGTTGCCGTTTTCGTTTCGGAGCCCATATCCAAACTTCCCGATCCTATATTCCTTTTCTAGTGGCATCCCGATTTTCGCATTGAAGTCGCCCACAACATACTTGTAGAAGGACTTTTCGTTGCGGACGACCTCCTCCACGTCTTCGTAGAAAGCATCTAATTCTGAGTCGTCAGCTGCTGATGTTGGCGAGTAGCAGTTGATGATGCTGAAGGTCTTCTGACGTGGAGGACGTAGTCGTAGGATGCCCAGTCGAGGAGATAGGATCTCGTGAGAATCGACAAGATGGACGATAGATGGGTGGACGACAAAGCCGACGCCTCCCACGTTTTGTGATGGAACTTTTTCACCACGAATGATGAGGGTCCCATCACTCATCTGTCGCACGTCCTTCTTCCTGGACTTCGTTTCCTGCAGAGCGATGATGTGGTAGTTGATGTGCTCTGCAGCGTCGAGAAGAGCGTGGAGTTTGTGGAGACTGTCCTGGCGTTGTAGGTGCAGAGCATGAGGCAGTCTCCATGGCGTGTCGTCCGGGCAGGCGTGTCCTTTTTGTCTAATCCGAAAGGCGCCCTGAGTACCCTGACATCGTTCTTGCTACCACCCGGCGCCGTAGGCGGGATACGATGTGCAGGGTTTCTTTCTAATCTTCTAACTGGAGGAGTGATATGAATTTTCCCCTACAAGAGGTGGCTTACTAGGCCTACTCTTGATTTCCACGGGGCGATCGCTGACCCCGGGCTTGGAGCGGGGAGGGACCGCCTAGCGACCAGAAGAAGCCAGACGGCGGGGGATCTGGCATGGCCGGTTCTTAGCTAGGCATCCGGCCGAAACCGGAAACGTCGAACTCCTTCACAGCTTGGGAGGCCCTACCAGAGTATATACTCGGCTGTGCATCGCAGTTCGACACCCACTGTCACCCCCATGCCACGATGAGGCGACCGACCATTGTGGGGGTTCATACACCTATCAAGATTGAAATTGATGTTAAGACGTTTAGAGATTGTAGTAAGAGATGAAATAGAGCGGGAGAGCTAATAAAAGAAGTAGTCAAGTTAGCCCATATAGTGCCGTGTGAAACATCTAAGCTAAACATACGTAAAAAGCATTTTGTGCCCTATACAAGCTATGATGTCCCTTATGCCTGTGGGTTGATTAAGCATGCATATTTCTGTTATTTTCAGACCGGTTCTGGACGAACCGCTATATTTGGCAGACTCTATGAATAAAAAAGGTTGTGTTAGAGACTATCCATGCAAGAAGATCATCAGTAACGCCGTTTGCGAAAAGGAAGGCGACAAAACGGGCCCTCTTTGTGAAGTGCCTCAACCCATAGTCCAACCAATCAGTACGTTAAATTATGTTGTAGCATCTTTCGACTTGTCTACTTTTCATCATCATCATGCTTATTTTAATGAAAAGTAGACAGATGTGGATCTCAAATGTAAAATCACTTTTTACACTTTGGGTACTTCATTTCTTGCAAAAAAAATTTTCTATTTCAACCTGATTCTGATTAAGTTGAGCACGCACGTACAACCCTATCTCCCAATGGGTATCCATCATTTACGTTACCTCCTGCCCTGCCGGGTGGAATAGGATCTCCTGCCCGGCCAGGTGGAATAGGATATCCTGCCCTGCCGGGTGGAATAGGATCTCCTGCCCTGCCAGGTGGAATAGGATCTCCTGCCCTGCCAGGTGGAATAGGATTCAGCAGAACGCCAGAGAGTAAGTGTTGTAAATAAACTTAAACAGTAAAATCATTCTTTATAACCCATAGTGAGAGAGCACCCACAATCTGGGCTTCCAATCAATCTTGAGGCCTGCCAAGTACAACAGATCGCAGGGGTAAGTGCTGATGTGCGCATGGGCAAGAAGAAAGCCTTAGATTAGTTTTCGAATAAAAAGGTAATCATATAAAAAGAATTCCAGCTACCTGCTTATATTCTTCGTTGTCAAGATTATGATGAAAACCGGCAAGGAACAGTTCATCATCAAGCTAGGGTGAGTGCCTAACGTGAAATAAAAATCACGATCATTTTTAATAGCTTCTGACATGGGTCACTTAGCCTTCAACTTTCATCTGCGATGTACAAGAGTGTCCAGTGACAGCGCCTGGTTGCCAAGGAGTGAGTAATAATACGAAGATAATAAGAATTGTTTTTATGCTACTTATCGAGACGATGCCTTATATTTTAGGGTAAGTATCAACTGCTTTGCCAACAACAACAACAACAACAACAACACCAACAGTATAACCCATCACAGATACAAAATGTGAGTGGTAGTCGTAAAGAAAAAATTACGACTGCTTCTTGAGCAACAAAGTATTTGAACTATGGTAACTTCAGCCGCCTCTGAGATGCAATGTGAATCAACAGCGTTTCCAAGCAGCACAGCAGTACCAAGCAGTAAGTCTGATTGCTAGAGTGACTATGATTCGCTAGGACTTGAAACAATTTCCGTTAACGTACTTCCACGGGCACCACTCCCAATAAGTAAGACGACAAAAGTGTGTCTGTGAAAGTGTGGGTAAATGCATTAGGCATCGGTCAAGTTTCGAGTAATCTCGGTAACTGTATCTGGCGTAGCTATGATTAGGGTCGAGCAAGAGGTGGGCACACAATCGCCGGTTACGACTCCCCCTCCCCCCCCCCTCAAGCTCTGTCTCAACCTCCCCCCTCCCCCAACTCCCAACAACACTACCATTTGCCTGCCTTGAGCATAACATTGAGCTCTATTGAGCATATTAGGAGAAAATCTTAGTAAGCATGTTAAATAAGCGCTTTGGACCAAGTTATAGCAAGGGTTTTTTAAGGGTTCCCAATTACTGGGCCACCCAAGTGAATTGACATTTTCAAACGTGGTTAACTATAATTCAAAAGTGAAATAGCTACCCTATTTTCAGGTGTATAAACCGCACCATCTTTGCTCTAAAAGCAAGCAGTCCCAGGCATGCCGTTGCGCAAGTTCCTCGCGAAGCGGTCGCAATCTCACACATTACCATCTGACGCACCCCGTCGTAACAGATAGTCTTTTGGCGTGTGCGCCTTTAACGCGAACAGGGTGCGGCTTATACACCTGAAAATAGGGTATCTTTTTGTACTCAGTACAAAGCAGCTACAGTACTTCCATTTGCCCATGTCATGAATCCTGCTCAGAATAACCGTCAAACTACAGAATTAGGAGCCAGCAAAAATCTCGTCTCATTTTTCGCTTACAGTGGTAGGCTTTCAGCAACTATTGCTCAAATAAAAGAAACCAGCTGCAATCATTTCCACAAAAACTAACCTTGTCTATCGAGCTTCATATGATATGCTCTCTAAATGCAAGTTACGGGTGTGTCGCACAACTCCAGAAAAGCTGTGGCTGCCAAATTTTTAGGGGTTGTGCCACACTTCACTGGCTTACCTCCAAACCAACCAAATTACTGCGTTTTCTACAGTTGCTATTGCTTAACCTTTTTCCTTACATAGTGGGAATCTTATTTGAAATCGTTTCTCCTAGGCAAACATATAGCCGTTTCTTTTTACCTATGCAGATGGAAAATAGCGAAAAGAAGTAGTCAGCTCACCTTTGGAACAAAGTCATGTTCGAAAACACTATCTGGAACCTGCTCCACAGGGATTATTTGACATGTTAGTTACGAATTGATGCTCTAATGTTTTTAACGCTCTTTTATTTGCTTAGTGTACGTATATGATGGTGGACTAAAATCATTGTGCTACATTGTGCTATTATTTTGCTTGATGGGCCTATCTGGCATTACTAACAAAAAACATGTTGTCGCTGTTGTCAGAATCACCATGGTAACGATCCCCCTCCTGACCTTTCAATACGATCCATCAGGTGTGACATGCCACGCCACACGCTTGACCTTGGCTATTATACTCGAAGTTCTTAGGCCCACATCATGTAAGCGAGGCTCTGCAATTTTGCGTAAGTTTTAGAGACTAGTCCAGTACATTTGGAATCTGGAATTGCGCAATAGATTCACAGAAATCTGCGACGGTATTTACCAAACTCCTGGTCACGATCGGGCGCTGCTTTACCATTATAACCAGGTAACCATTGCCCGATCGGGCCTATATTAACAATGAAACAGAGCCCGATCAGTGATCGAAGTTTGAAAAATACTGCCTTGAAGTATGATCAAATCGCCCGGCGACCCCGATTTCGACGGACTTCTTTACGGTGTAATACTGTGTTACGCAGCAGCAACAGGTAGCCATTTGTATTAAATTACTTAATTAGACTGTTCCCTCGCAAATAACTGCAATCTATCTTCCAGGTACTACCAACTTTAGTATGCCAACAAGTACAACCGCAGAATGGGTTTATGGTCCAAGGAATGGTTTGTTTAGTTTTCAAAAAAAGATTGATTTTTAAGAATTGGATTCAGAACCCTGGTGTTATACCGCCGAATTCCTATAATGTCGTCTACAATGTCCCCTTCAGTCGCACTTCAAACTTGAATGAAAGCAGCACAGATGGTTCGGTTTGATAATACGACGCAGTCTTTTTGCCTCAAACGAACTCGAACTTTCAGCATTTCATGGCTGAAATTGAGAAGCAACGTAGCTAAGACTTAAAGATGTTTTTGTGTTGATGTTAATACTTACAATTTCGGACAAACACTGCATATTATCAAACGTAAACATATATTATCATGGGCTATCACTAAACACTATAATTTGCTTGTGTATGTGATAAAAAATTGGCTTAAATGTCTCTTCATAACTAGATCTGGGCAATTACGGTAGTGATGTTAATAATTTTTACTATTTTGGATTAAGCTGATATAATGTAACCTTTACTCTCACTCATATCTCGTCACTTTTACAAGGAAAGTGCTTTCAATCGCGGTGACCTTTCATCAGGGCTAGGTATGGCCTGAAGTTTGAATTGCTTATACGCGCATTTAATAGCTGCAGAACGAATCTAAATCAAAAGTCAGGTTCAGAGTGCCTTGCGATCACAATTCTTTCAAAGGCTCGTTACGCCCATTGCATAATATTGAAGGAAGTACTCCTACACTTTTGATGAACTTCTTCATCTAGGTTCAGGTCCCAACTACATAGACTTCCACAGTTTTGGCTGCTCACAGCGCTGTAAATTTCCCGCAAATTAAAGTCAATAACTTTTGTCCTTGATTCGTTTTGCAGCTAAGAATGGTTGTTTTGGTATCAGCGTTTGCTGCTTCAAATGATACCCATCTTATGTCAAAAGGCCACTGCGACTCCTGACACTTCCCTTGTTAGACGTATAAATGCATAGCAGTTTTCGTATCGTAATCACAAAGTCGTCGAACGTTCTGCCTTACGTCCGCCTAGGATTGGCAAAAAGAAGGACATAAAACAGATGCAAAGCTTGAAAATCATGACTTCTCATAACGGGGTATGGGATTTTAATTTTTGCATGTGTGCAGTTCAAATCTTTAGAGAAAGCAACCAGTTCTTAAGCCAAATTTTTGTATAATGTTCGCTTGCACATATGTAGGTTCACCATACGCGGAACCTGGAGGATCTGGTGGGTGGCTTTTCCGACAACCGCATGTTAACAGCTAAGACAATGAAGCAAAAATCAAATTCATCTAGAGCCTTTTTGCGAATCCATGCACTTATCTGACTTACAAATCTTGCACCTTCAATTTAGTCTCAACTAATTGAAAAGTATACAGAAACGATCATGTCATTACTATTTGATTTCACAAAGTTCCACTTATAAGAAAGAACGAAAGATTGTTAGATGCAGCTTTTGTAATGATAAACCTATAAATATATGAGCCTGAAATTGTGATTCCATAGAGATGGAATCTCTATGGAATCACAATTTCAATATCTATGTTTCGCTTGCCAGCAAAACGATTACTAAAATATTTATCAGTAGCAAATTTAAAGTTTGCATGGTGGGTCTCAGGGCCAGCCACCAGCGATGACTATGCTCCGTGAACTGCCAGTTCGCATAGAAAAGCATAAAAGCTATTCATCAGGGCTTCACGTGACAGCATCGCACTTGACCAAACTTCTGGAAAGGTTGAAGATAGCGGCTTGACAAAATGGACGCTTATCATATTTTGGTAGTGTTTGTAGAAAAAATATCAACCTGAGTTCTAAAACTAGCTTTACAAGCTCATCAGCCTTACCCACTTCTTTTGTGCGAAAGTCAATGTTGGGGTTTGAAGCGCATTTTCAGGATTTAGTGCACGTAGTAGGTCGGATTTGATGCAGGGAGGGTGAGGGGGAGGATACTTCCTAACACCATCATCCAAGAATGGTCACTTGGCCGAAGCCGAACCACTTTTCTAACTATGCATTGTGTTTGTCTCAGGGCTCGGCACAGGTGGCTTACGGGGCAAGCTGGGTATCTTTTAGAATAAAAACCAAGGGGCATATCGTTTGAGCGGAAATCCCGCCCCCCCCCCCCCCACACACTTGTGGCCGTATGTCACCCACTTTCTATAAAAGACGCAAATTGTCATTTCTGCCTTACCAATCTGCAAAAACCAAATATTCCTTATTTCAACATGTTCGCAGATTGAGCGTGCGAATGCAACCTGCCTCGAAATAAACAAAAGACTTATTTACAGCAAAGAGAGAATTAAATGGCACCAAAATTGGTTTGTAGATGGGCAACAGGGAGTTAGGACTATGTGCAAAGAATTGTGAAAAAATCATGTAAAATTGAAGGCGTAGCAAACTTTTTTCGAAGTAAGGTGGCTTTCTAGCCACCTGGACAGCCACCTGAGGTGGCTGTAAAAAGAAGAAGTCATATATCTTCCTTCTTTCACATAAATTTCTCATATGTTTAACATAACCTTGTTCTACATCAAAAACCCCACAACTGAGTTTTTGAATCTCCCTAAACCCCCTCTTCCTCGCCTAGTTACAGCCCTCCAAATATCTTGCATGGCGGCGGCAAGCCTGCTCGCGCAAAGGTGCGCGCCGGACACAGCATGCCGCCAATTCGGAGAAAACGAACACCTTTAGTTTTTCGTCTGTTCGAAGTTGAATTTATGTCTTGTTCCATTATCTTCTCGTTATTCGTTCTGATCCATCCACGATCGGGTCATAGGTGATGTCGTATTTTTCTGCCGAAGTCTACAAGGACTTCGTTTTTTAAAAATTGAAAAAGCCACCTCATGCCGAGCCCTGGTTTGTCTGGTTCTGAGATATCGCAGCTGCCGAGCGCGACGAAACTACCTTATCGCGCCAATTTATTAGTTTTTGGATTAGGATACATGCGGCGCGAAAGCCTTTACCCTTGCTTGACCAGTCCACTTGAGTCGAAATTGAGCAATTCACCATAAAGAACATCAACTTTACTGGGGCATTGCCTTCAAGCAAATTATTGAGTTGGCATATGATTTTGCAACACAATTTTTTTTAATGTGGCGCCCTCATTCTGTGATTCAGTACAAACTGAATAGTGAGCTACATATATGCGCAAATGGCTGAATTTTGATAGCTAGTTAAAATCTACGCGGTTTACGCGTTAACGCTAGAAGCTCGAAATTCCATTGACTCAAAACTAAAAATGATGCAGTTTGCAGCCTGAAACAACGCATCAAGCAGAGACTATTAGGTGGTTCCGAAAGTTTTCCCCGTTTTTTCGATCTGTCAGAAAAACAAATTGTATAACTTCGGGCATATACTTCGAAGATTATTCAACCAGCTCTTTATCCTCTTTGCAGTAATCATGTCAAACCATTTGCTAGTGTGGTCATCTTATATATAAAGCTGAATGTCTGTTTGTCTGTCTGTCTGTCTGTATGTCTGTCTGTCTGTCTGTCTGTATGTATGTCTGTCTGTACGTATGTTCCGAATAGAAAATTCCATTTCTGAACCGATCCGGACCAAACTTGGCACACATACACTACGGGCCCCGGCGGGTGTCATAGGCTACTTTTCGTCATCGATCGATACCGATTTTATCGATTTTTTGCAAAGTTTGAGCTAGGGGGCTAGGGGGGTGATCAGCATGCTCGATTACACTCCTGTGCCAAATTCCAGCCCCCTAGCTCAAATTTTCAAAAAATCGATGAAATCGAAAATAATGGACGATCCTGAAAATTAATATTGTGTTTGTAATCTGCATGCACGATTACCCCCCTGTGCAAACTCCCAGCCCCGCAGGTCAAACTTTACAAAAAAAATCGATAAAATCGATAAAAGTAATGGACGATCCTGAAAACTAATGCTGTATTCGGAATCCCCATGCTCACTTCCCCCCCCCTGTGCCAACTCCTAGCCCTGTAGGTGAACTCTGCAAAAAAAATTGATAAAAATCGGTAAAATCGACATCGATCGATAACGAAAAGTGGACTGTGACACCCGCCGGGGCCCGAAGTGTATGTGTGCCAAGTTTGGTCCGGATACGGCGGAGCCGGGTAAGCCAGCTAGTTAAATATAATCGCCAGAATTTTGAACCTAAACCTTTTGCCACACTCAAGTTCGGCAATTTTTCAAAGTTTTCGGCCTCAACTTTTGAGACTGCTGGATAACAAGTGGAGAGAGTAAGCAAAATACAATACAACAAATTTGGGCATCTCCAGCTAGCTCTCCATTATTTCCAAAGTGATTTCTCCAATCTTTACGTTTTCAAAGTCTTGTGGCATACGAACGCATTGAAGACTTGGACTTCCTTGGACTTCAAAGAATTCAAAATTCGATTATCTCAAGGCTAACCAAAGCAAAGAGTGTTCATCGCTTCCAGAATCGAATTTTGATTCGGGCACCACAGGCTCAAAAATTTCACAATTAGATTCTCGGGGCTCAAAGGCAGCGTCCAGGCAGATCTGGACCTACGGGGATTTTACGTGGAAAGTACTTTTGGGACCCTAACTAAGGCACTGCCCAAGCGACAGCGCAGGTAGTGCTCCAAACTGTGAGATATTCCCCTTGAAACTGGACCCCGCGATCGTATTCCGCATGGATTCATGGCGCAAAGCGTGGATCCTGGCGCGAAACTGCCATGAATCCATGCGAAATACGATCGCGGGGTCCAGTTTCGAGGGGAATATCTCAGCCGTTAGAGCACTACCCGAGCTGAAGGTTGGGCAGCGGCTTAGTTAGGGCTCCAAAATTACTATCCACATGGGATCCCCATGTGTCCAGACTTGCCTGAACGCTGCCTTTAAGCGAATATGAAAGAAAGGAGAAGAAAAAGCTGCATTGAATGACACCCGAGTTGCTTGCCAGTTGATGTTTTGTGAGGTTCCGCTTAACGAAATGTGAAATTTGTTAGCATCAGAAAAATGAATCTGATGAATCTTGAAAAATTTCTATTATCTCAGTAATCTCCAAAGCAATAGATCGAATTACTGTTGGAAAGAGAAAGAAGAAACTGCATCGAACAGTTTTTGAAGTGCTCGCCGATCTGTATCACACTTGTTTTTGTGATAAATCGAGAAGACTGAAAAGCGACCTAATAACAATATGTAAATGTGGTTTATCATCAATTATCTTTGTAAAACTTTGGCTGATGCATTTGATTGAGGCTGTAAATGATTTCGTTTTTGTTTTAAGCCTTGTAGAATTTCGAATTTGACTAGCTTTCGGAAAATGCGGGGTTTTTTACCATGTTGCGGCCTGAAATCGTGCAGCTTCGGCAGGTTTGTAGCTCACCACTCAATCTGCACTGCATAAAAAATGAGCGCGCCATCTTCAAGGACAGAAAAGTAATAAATTAGTCGCGAAGCTTGGGTGAAGGTATATGTCGC